ATTGTAATTAATCGACTACCGAATGAAATGGCTGAATCGACCTGAATTCGGCCATCGAATTTATACCAATTTTATTCCAAATTTTATAAGTATTTGGTCGTTGATTACAGGTCGATTTTTATTATGTCAATCAGTTGTCGATTGAAATTTTCACCTGAATTTGGTTGCCGATTTTTTATTAGCATTCGACTGTTTATTAGCTACCGATTTACTCTATCATTTGGTATAATATTAGCCAAATATTCAACAGTCGAATTCAGGTCAATTCAGCTATTTCATTCAGTGGTCGAATTTCTTATATTCGACTAGTGTGTTGACCTTCTAAATTTGCTAGTATTGTAATAGATAATGCCTATTAAATGCAAGCAGCATAGAAATTGTTAAATAATAATTATTCTCAATTAATATGCTTGGACTAAAGTGACATATTAGAAATTTGTTAATTAAAGATATACTTAAAATTGATTGAGTAAAAATTGATGAATTGCACAAAGTAAATTATTAGTTTTTTTAATTACATCCTAAAGTCGAATTGATTTTAATTAACCAACTAAATACAATTATTTTAATTCAACCTATTAATACTTGCTAAAAAACTTTCTAGATGCAGTTTAATTTGTTATAAGATAGAAATTAGAAATTCAGATGATTGTAATACAACTTGAAGTTAGTAAAAAAATTGCATATAATCTTAAAGATCAATATTCAATAATTTATTATAAAAAGAGCTAGAAAAATTAGCTTCTTTTTTGATGCCTTTTGTTAGGCTTATACAAATATTTGAATCTGATGAACCTTTATTTTCAAATATTCATTCTAAATGGCAATTACTTTAAGAATCAGTTAATCTATATGATTTGAGTTTAGATTTTAAATCAAAAGTTCTTAATTAATTAATAAGCAGTTTGAATTTGTATTTTATCTTTTAGATGCAAGATAATTATATTATTCTATTATTATTATTTAGTCTAATCTTTAATATAAATAATTTATTTTTAGAATTTATAGAAAATCACTAAAGCAAAATAATTTTAAAATATTTAAAATACTATTGTTTCATATCTTAAAAATGCTTATACATTCAAAATTGCAGCACATATAAATATTGTTAATACTATTGTCGCAGGTTAATAGAACCCTTTGGTTATTAACAATCTAGCTTAAAAGGTAGGCATTTCTCTAACCAACGACCACCTTGACACCTTACTACTTGGACTTGGGTAAGTATCTTTATTATTATAAGACGAATGTTCTCTTATTTGTAGATAAAAGCATTTATTAATTTATTAATTTTCACTTTGCTTATAAATACAAATTTCTAACTATTGCTAATTAATTATATAATTACTTGATCATACTATTTTAACTTCCTTATTATTTGAGCATACCATTTTAACTTTTAAATTAAACTATGCCACATTCTTCATGCAAATTATCCATTATGCTTCAATTCACATTACTTGTATTACTAATCTTGTGTTACTAATTACTTATGATATAATTTCCTAAGTAACTGAGCTACGATCCAGATACTGGTCGATCATCACATGGGCACGTGATCTCATCATGATCAATTTGACCCTTCTCAAACCCAAGATAGGTAATGATAAAAATTTTATTATTATTATTATTAATACTCTATTATGTTAGAGATTCAAATTAACCCTACTCACCAAGTATACTGGCTACTGGTTTCTACTATAATACAAGCTAGATTTCTCAGAACTTTGTCCTTGAAGTTTTCAGCATGTGTAAAGCAAATTTCTTAGCAATACTAAACCCGGCATACCATGTAAGTACTTCAATACTTTTTTATAATCAAATAAATTTCTAGCCAGTAGTTTGTTCTATATATTGCCTATCTATTTGATCAACAATTGATCATTTTTTAATCATCAGCTCTGCTTCAACAATTATCCTCTATATGCATTTTATATTTGTGATAGTATTTGCATTATACATTTTATTATATAATCTATTACTCCATTTTATCTTTTTAAATACACCATATTCATTGTTTGCACCACTATTGATATACTCCGTTTCATTTGATGATTCTACTAAGTCTTCTACTATTGTATCTGTCTTGGTAATTACATCTAATAGTGCACCAATCCCTACATTCAGTTCATCTTGGTGACTATTATATGCATCACGTTCATCTTTTTTAACATTAATTTCATTATAGCATATATCAGATATTCCATCACTACTCCTATTTAGTTTTTCAGGATTAAAGACTGTTTTATCGTCATTTTTAACAATTGCATTAACAAAATTATCTTTTTCTGCATCTACTCTGTTTTCATGGTAATTTTTCAGATCGTTTGTTGCAGAATTCTGTTCAAGTGAGTCTTCAGATTTCTTATCACTCATTTCATTATCATTTATTGAACTAACCTTTACATTCTTTCTTTCAATTTCATCTATTTCCACTTTATCACTTGTTCTATTGATTACCTGTTCCTCTTTATTATCTGTTTCTCATTTATTACTATTTGCTTCCTTCTTCATCACCTCATCCTCATCAACATCCAAACACCATTCAAATAAGTTGCAATCAGGTATCTCAGACTTTCATTCATCTTTTTTAACGGCTATTCCATTTTGGTAACATTGTCCAACGCTATAAATTCTAGCGAAATCTTCCATCTCTGCAGATTTTTGGTGATTAATGGATTCTTTACACTCATTTGCATTAGATATGTTTGCAATCTTTGTTTCTGTTGTCTGTTTCTTTCTATCATTCATTTTACTAACTATATTCATCACTCTTTTGTTTATTTCATTATCATCAACTTGCTCAACGTCTTTTAATCCGCAATTTTTATATTACAACCAATCATTCATCATATTAATATAACTCGCTATATCAAATAACCTTTGCCATAATTTCTCTATGCCTTCATGTGTTTAATTGCCTGTTTATCTATATCAACTCACTTGTTGCCACATATAACACAACACATGCTGACTTTGTGTTATTATCCTATCCTCTATTTTTGGCATAGGCTTAATATTCCTAAAGAAAATTCACCATCACTATTGCATCTCCATCTTTATAATATGGATCTATACTTTTGGCATCAGGTTTTTTTGGTGCTAGCAGATAAAGACAGTACAATAAGCAACCCGGTATGTACAGTTAACTTCTGCTTCTATGACTTGTTATAATGTTTAATACTGTATATTCATAAAAAAATTTTTTTTTCAACATCTTTACTCCGAGATCCTTATAGAGATTTTCTACACTCAAATTACTTTCATTTTCACTTTATTTAACAAGGTATGTTGGCTATTGTTCTGCTTTTGTTTCACTTTTTGTCTATACTAACTCAATCAAATTCCTTTTATGTTTACCGAGTTACTGAATAATCTGCTCAGGTTCTCATATCATGAGTTAATAGAACTCTTCGGTTACTAACAATTCAGCTCAAGAGATAGGCACTTCTCCAACTTATGACCACCTTGACACCTTACTTCTTGGACTTGGGATAAATATCTTTATTATTATAAGATGACGTTCTCTTATTTGTAGGTAAAAGCACTTATTAATTTATTAATTTTTACTTTGCTTATAAATACAAATTCTAACTATTGCTAATTAATTATATAATTACTTGATCACACCATTTTAACTTCCTTATTATTTGATCATGCCATTTTAACTTTTAAATTAAACTATGACATATTCTTCATGCAAGTTATCTATTATGCTTCAATTTGAATTACTTGTATTACTAATCCTACATCACTAATTATTTACGATATTATTCTCTAAGTACCTGAGCTATGATCCCAATACTGGTTGATCGTCATGTAAGCATGTGAACACATGATGATCGATTCGACCCTTCTCAAACCCAAGATAAGTAACAATAAAATTTTTTTTTTATTATTACTAATACGATCAATTATCTATTATGTTAGAGATCCAAATCAACTCTATGCACCAAGTACACTAGCTACTAGTTTCCACCATGATATTATTTATATTGAAAACTTTATTTTTAATATTTAATTTATTTTATTAAATATTTATGAAGTATATCTGCAAAATTTTAAAGGTACTATATATTGATAATAATTTTTTAAATTGCAATTAATATGCAACCCTGTCAGATATTATTACTAGTGATTACTAACAATATATAACAAAAATTTATTAAATTTCTTTAAAATTTAATATTAAATTTCTTAATAACTACTAATTTAAATCAGCTCAAATTTCTATTATAAATAGGTTATATATTCAACTATAATATAGTTAAATTTCAGCCAATTTGAATTAGTAGTTTTTGAGAAATCATTTGTTAACAATAGTTAACTTTTTTAAAAATTAACTATTGTTAACAAATGATTTCTCAAGAACTACTAATTTAAATTGGCTAAAATTTAACTATATTATAGTTAATATAAACCTATATATGGTAAAAATTTAAGCTGAATTAATTTAGTAGTTATCAAGAAATTTAATGTTAAATTTAAAAAAATCTGAAAATTTTATAAAATCATTATTAATCAATAGTGATTATAATCATTATTAATCATTATATATCAATAATCATTATTTATTTTTAGTAATATTTATCAATATATAGTAGTTAAATCGATATATATCAATAAATTCTTAATCAATATATATAACTAATTGCTATATATTAATATATATCTTCTTAAAAATTTTGCTGATATAATTTAAAAATATTGAAATTAACTCTGACAAAATAAATTAACTGTTATTTGTCATACATATGTTATAAATAGTGTTATCTAATAGTTAATATAATCATATAAAAATTTTTTGTAATATTTTGCAAAACTGATTATATAATTTTATATAAAAAATATTATAGCAAAAATATTCACATCATTATATAAAATGTTAGAATTTATTTTCTATCTAAATTTATTTTCTATCTGAATTTATTTTCTATCTGAATTTATATATTATATTCAGATTTATTTTATATCTGGATACAGATATTCAAAAAATTGAATTCAGATTTATTTAAAATCTAGAATAATCCAGATATAAATATATATCTGTATTTAACTACTACTGTATAAACTCGAAATAACGCTTATGGGCGTTATTTTGAAAATCGGATCCTCCCAAAATAGCATAGATGATTTTAAATTAACGCCCATAGGCATCCTGAATTAACATGCACCCCTCACATAAGAATTTATGTCAAAGTAAAATTTGTTCTAATATTAAAATTCTGCACAGATTTTTTTTAAAAAAAATTGTCGTATCTAACTATTTGC